CTTGGTATAAATGCATTTGAAGAAAGAAAGAAGCAGGGTTTGGTGGCACATGCCCAGAGACCGTGACGCCAGCACTCGGGGAAGCTGAGGCAGGAGGATCACAAATTCAAGCCCAGCCTGGGCAGTTTAGAGACTTAGCAAGACCCCCATCTCACCATAAAAAATAAAAGGACTAGGGTTGTGACAGAGGTGGAGGGACTTGGGTTCAATCCCCAGTACTGCAAAAGAGGTCGGGGGAGGACGAAAGGGGACTAAGGGTAGATTCAGCCCATAGTAAGCGTCAAGCAGCAACCTCTATACATGGGTGACTATTTATTGACGTGGAAAGATGTTCATACAAATGTGTGAAATGCAGGCTGAACACACACACACACACACACACATACACACACACAGATAACACGCACCCTCAGGCACACACTGGCAACCTCAGCATCTGGAGGCCATGCCCCTGCTGCTTACGTTATCCATGGGTGATGGAAACATGGCTGTGTAGCATCTTATTTTGGCCCCTCTGATTTTTTTGTTTTGTTTTGTTTTGTTTGTTTTCTCTCCTATAACAATCCCATATTTTTTTCACAGTGAAGTGCACATTATTTTCCAATTAGAAAAATGACAAACTCCACCCTGGGGATTAACGGAGTGTTTTGTTTGTTCCAGGGAATTTGACTCTACACATGGAAAAGCAGAAAATGGGGGCAGGGGTGTTGGTGACACTGGGACACATTTATGGTTCAGGAAGAGCCATGTGGGAAATAAACTGATCTGGTTCGGAGCCCTCAAATCCTCCCGCTCACTCCTTCAACCGGTGTTCGCTGAATGGATGGGGGCCGGGTTCTCAGGACACACGGGACAAGAAAACGCAGTCCTGCCCTTTGGTAGCGACCGCTCCTACGTGCATGCGCCCTCAGGTCCGGGGCACCCACAGGATTAGCTTCCTAGTTACAGCTGGAACCGCAGCCGTCCCCTTTGGCTTGGATGGAAAATCCACCAGTCAAACCCTTGCGCCCCCCTTCACTCAGCAGAGTAATGACTGAGGGTTACAGTGAAGCTGCACGGTATGCTCGCTGCAGGACACTGACTATCTGCACTGTGCGCTAAGATCTCCACGGTGCCAACCCGCTGGCATTGTGACGCTTGACACTGGAATTCAGTTCCTTTGGATTCAAACACAGATGACCCAAGAGCAGCCCACCCCACCCCACACCTTCAAACACGAGGGGCTTGGGCCCTGTGCCCCTTGGATGTGTATTTTTAGGGTCTTGCTTCTGCAGGGTGAAGAAAGAACAGCACGTCGGGATGCTCTGGAGAAGGAAGGAGCATCTATAAGCCCAGTCCCGCCCTCCAAGGCCTCCAACCCGAGTGGCTGCAGCAAAGGAATCTGAGCCCTTGTCCCACTGGCAGGAAGAAAGTGGGCGAGGCGTGCGTGCCGGGTCTGCCCATGCCTCAGGGGGCCTTCTGGGGTCAGTCACGAGTGGGCACCACCAGAGAGGCCACTGGGAAGGACCATGGAGGAGCAGAGGACAGAACAGAAAGGGGAGAGGCACAGGGCTAGCGCCGGCTCTGGCCTTACCCAGCCCACCAGCAGCTAACCTGGCTCAGCAGCCTCTATCCAGAGTCACCTCAGTCCAGTGCCTTCAACCGGGCAAGTCCCACAGACCTGGCTTCTGCTAATGTAGATAGATCTTCATGGATCCTTGGAGGGCAGGACTGAATCCCGAAAGACCCAGGAGCCCCATGGCCACCCCAGACCCATCCAGATCCTCCCGTCTCTCACCAGAACCCAGAACCTCTTCTCCCCAGCTCTGAAGCCCCAGAAACTCGTGTGACAGAGTTGCAGGCCCAGCCTGACTTCTGGCCTGCACCTGCCTAAACCCACCCAGGGCTGGCAACTTCCCCAGGCAAGATCCTCTTCCTTCCTGGTCCCCAGGGCAGAGGGCAGCTGGAGAGCAGATGTCCCGCTGGGAGGTGGGGTGTTCTAGCTCCCAGCAGCACCCAGGAGCACATCTGACCCAGCCCTGGGCACTAAGAGCTTGGCTTCCCTGAGCCCAGCCACACCTGGCAGCTTCTTCCCTGCCCTCCCCTGGGCTCCTGATGCCTTGCCACCACCTTGCTTGTCTCCATCTCGTTTCTACAGGAGCCAGGAAGATGGTCAGACACTGGGGTGTCCAGTCATGGGTGCAAATGGGCAGCTGGTGCCCTATGAAGACTTCCCAATTGCCATCCTGTGCAGGGTGCGGTGCCCCAGGAGGGGCCCCAGAGGCAAGGCAAGGGACTCCCCAGTGGACAGTTAGGGACATCTCTAGTGTCCCTGCCCACACGCAGCTCTGGAAATCACGTATGGGCAAGATGGAGCAGGCGGGGGGGGGTGCAGATGCAGCTAGAACCACGCCTGTCCCTAGGGATCCGTGGCACGTAATTGCACTTTGACTAGGACCCTGAGACCTCACCTTGCTCTCAGCCCCTGTCCTCCCCAAAGGATGGGGTCTGCAGCATTCAGCCCCTCACTGTGGGGCTTGGGGAGCAGGAAAAGAGCTTGGATTCTGCACATCTGCATGTTGTGGTTGGACTCAGGACAGGCACGGCCAGGTCAGGGACCAAGCTGGATTCTGGGCAGGGCCCGAGACACAGGGCTGGTAAGGCTGCCTACTGGGCTGCCCGAGAGAATGTGGAAGGAAAGGAGTCGGGCTAGACAGCCCTCCTGCAGACTGTGCTCTGAGGTGGGCATCCCGGAGGTGGTAGGGTCCTGTCCAGATGCTGCCTTGTGCCCCTTGACGGGAGCAGAAAGCAGATTTCGGTGGTAAAGCAGGGAACGGTAACCATGCTCGCCCGATAGGAAGTTAAGCCACAGAGATGAAGAGCCCAGGGGTGCTGCCCGGACTTGGGCATCTCCAGGGCCCTCAGGGCTGCTGAAGCTGCTTCCCCGATGAACCATGAACGGCCCTTTCTCTCCCGGGAGGGTAAATTGCCAGGAAGAGTCGGCCTTGGGCAATGAGCAGGCGAGGAGGGCAACCGAACATCTCCTCCTTCCTGCCCTTCTGGCCTCCTGCTGTCACCCCCACCCTACCCTGAGCCCTGGAGCCTTGGCCACCCCCAGCCCCAGGAAGTAGGACCCATAAAAGGAAGTAGGTTGACCTCTGGGGACAAGAGGCAAATGGGGGAAGTAGTGTCCACTAAGGGCACCCTGAGGCACTACAGTTTCTACAAAATTCTTTCATCTTTGTTTTGATGGGTGAAGTTCAATGCCAGAATATTTGGTTTATGAGTCATGCTAATTACAGCTGGGGGGAGGCACCAAGAAGAACAACACAGAGGAGCCCGTTCCGAAAAAATTAATGCTGTGCTGGTTGCCTTGAACAGGGAGGTGACGCCCTAGGAATGAGGAGGGAGCTGTCTGTGCCTTCGTGGGAACAGCAGGAGGTCCCTGGCTGGCCCGGCTGTGGTGTCCTGGGGGTAGACAGGGGCCACCCGGGGGCCCATTTCTGTCTCCCTGAACTACTGCTCCCCAGGAACACTTCCTTGGCATCATGGGAACACAAGAGGGCAACAGGAGAGGGGAAGGCTGGCATCCCTGTGATGCAGCCCTGAGGCCCTTCCTGCCCTGTCTCTTCCTCTGCAGAGGCTCAGGTCACAGCCTCAGCTGGGAGTGCTATGCTCAGGGTCCCCAGCCGGGCAGAGTGTTCCAAGCATGGACTTAGGGGCTGAAGACACAGGCTAAGGCCTGGGCTCCTTCTGCGCCCTTGTTCTGTGACCCCAGAAGCCCGAGTCCCTCTGAGCCTCTCCGGGGTGGGGATTCCCGTAACAGAGTTGTTGACAATCAACAAATCCACGGCTGCCACTCTTCTTCAGACTGCCTTTGCCGGGTCATCCCTTGGCTCTGCAGGCCTGAAAGGGGGCGTGGGCTCCCCCAGTTGTTCTCCACCCTCCATGTCCACCTCCTGCTTCCCCCCCGCTGTAGCAGCCACGCTCTCAGGGAAGGCCCTTCCCCTACGGCCTCACGCCACAGTCAACTGTGTGGATCTGGGTCTTCCCACGGGGGCTGCACAGCCTGCTGGGAATACGTACTTTCTGTACTATAAAAAGCAGAGCCTGGGCAATCTCTAAGGACGTCACACATTCCCCGGGGATCCTGGAAGTTGTTTCTCAAGACATTCCTCATATCCAAAGTTTGGAGAAGCTTGCGCTGTGGCCTCCATTCCTAGAAACTAGGCAAGGTGACAGAGGCAGAAAGGAATCACAGCACGGCAGCTCCTGCCCACCTATCCGACCCAAGACAGGTTAGATCCACGGAAGAACAGAGCTCTCAAGCGTAGGAGCAGCCAGGCAGGCCCTGGGATCCAACAGGTGGGGACCACCCTTGGCCTGGAGAGCTGTCCAGGGCAGCTCAGGGACTGCAGCTGCAGGCCAGGGTCCCTCTCATCCTGGCTTCTCTTCCCGGAAGGGTCCCCGGGGAAGGACACTGTTTTTCCTACCCAATCTGAGTGCCGGCCAAGCACATCAAGGCTGTCGGATGAAGGGGCCGTGGTCCACATATCCCATACTGGGTGGAGGCCTGAGCTGACCCTGAAGCACAACACAAACCCGGTGCCCCTGGGTGGCCCGGGTGACCTGGGGGGGGTGTCCCTCCTTCATGCAGACGTGGCCCTCGGCCCCATTCTTTAACTTCTCAGCCTCAGAAAAGCACCAGAGAAGAGAAGCAAAAACAGCAGGGAGAAGGTAGTCAGTCCAGACAGCACCCATCTGCAAGGAGTCCACCCCTCCACACGGGAGGCTCAGGACAGCGGGAAGAAACTGGGCTCTGTGCTGAGTGTCAGCCGCAGCGCACACAAGCCTCTCCCCAAACTTCTGCTCTCTCCATCCCCTTGCCACAACCGCCAAACGGCCCTTCTCACCCCGCTCACTGTCCTCCCCGGCAAAGGCGACAGAGGTGTTCACCCCGCCAACCAGGCTGAGGCCGGCGGCGCCAGGTCCCTCCGAGTCCTGCCAGCTGGGCCACCTACCTCCTTCAGAACCGAGCCGGCTGTACCCGCCGCGTCCTCCGCTGCCTCTCCAGGCTTTCTCGGAGCCTGTTACACCATCTCCCAGTGGCTGAGCCTCCTTCCCGCCAGGTCGGAGGGTGGGGGAGCCCCGACAGACTTGTCAAAGAGCCGCGGAAAAGCCCTGGGAAGAAGGCTCCGAAGGGCGGGGCCGCCGCAGTCCCGTCCCAGCACCTTTATCTCCCAGCGGTGGGCTCCAAGGTCTCTCCAGCCAGAGCGGAAGCGCGGTTTCTCAAAAGTAAAGGAAGAGAGGAAGAAAGCGCACAAACACGTAGAGAGCAAACCCCAGCCAGATGTGAGCTGCTGAGGAGCCTAGAACGCTCCCAGCGCATTTGATCCAAACAGCAGCCTCCGAGGGAGGATTAACTGTGTGTGTGCCCGGCTGGCCGCGCCTCCCTCTTCCTGGCCAGCCTGGGGGGCCAGCTGAGGCTGCGGGTGAGGGTGGCCTCTTCCGTGTGTCCAGAGGCCCACCCAAATGTGGAGGTGGTGGGAGCCCAGGACAAGGGGACACACATGGGCAGCGGGAACCGGGAAGGCTGAGACCCCGAGAGGCTTGCTGGCAGGGGGATGGGCTTTGAGGAACTCGGGCATCACCTGAGAGCAACCCCAGGTCCACACTATGGCTGACATGGGGGCGCCCCCCGGGGTCCAGGGACCAGGCCAGGTTTGGGAAATCAGTAATAGAAGGCCACACAGGGTGAATATGTGCACTTTTGGAAGGTGACAGTCCCTCAGAGTCTGGATGCAAAGGTAAGGGCAGCCCCTGCCCAGGAGGTTTAGACCCCTCGCCAAACCCCATGAGCAGGGGGGAAAGGGGGACTCACTCTGTCCGCATCAGGACTCTCACTTCCTCCAGATGAAAATGAACATTTTCTCAACTTACACATTGCCTGTGAACAAATCCCTGAGCTGCCTCCTGTACCAAGTGCTGCACCCAGACTGATTTGTTCTGGGTTCTTATCACACCACTAGGGGAGGAAGGATCTGGCCAGAGAACCAAGCAGTTCTGACTGGAAAATGTCCCTTCTTCACTTCTTTACTGCCTGTGCTCCCCCGTTCCCTCCCATCGCCCTGTCTCTCTCTCTCCCTCCCTCCATCCCTCCCTCCGTCTCTCTTTCTCTCTGTCTCTCTCTCTCCATCTGGACAGGAGATAGAAAAACAGGGATGTGCTGATCCGGGATGTTCAGAACAAAACAAAAAGTCTGTGCTTGTTATTCCGTCTTGGAATGTCCCCTCCTCAGCCATACCAGCCTCTGGAGGGGCCAAGAGAATCAACAGGGGAGGAGGCAGAGTGTGCCAGAGTGGCGCCAACTGGGCGCACTGTCTCACCCCGATGCTCGGCACAGAATAGCACTGAGGCAGAGCTGAGGATGGACAGATTTAGAAGGGGGTGTTCTGGGAGGGAGAAGCAGCCTTGCATGTTTACTGACCCCTCCAGAGACCCCAAATTTAAGTGCCAACCCCCTGTGAGAAGAAGAAATGCCACCCATCCCTCTGGTGCCCAAGGGACACTTACTTAAGGATGCTTGGTGAGATTAAATAACCTTGTCCCTATTCCAGATGTGGCCTCCACGAGCCCTAGCATAACGGGAAGGCACATGTTCTTTGGCATAGTGTCTGAGGACAGGCAAAACCTACATTCTTGGCTGCTTATTGACACAGGAAAACCCAGAGATAAGCTCTTCTTCATTCCTGTAACATGAGGAAGTTTCCCACCCAGCACATGGACTGACCTCCCCTAGCTACCCTGTCCTCAGACAGCCCGTGTGGCAGGGACACGAGGGGGAGCAGCTAGCAAGGCAAGAGCCAAAACGGGTACCAGCTTGTGCAGCCCTATGAGACTGCTGCCTGGTGCTGGAGAATCTGGGACTCTCGTGGGTAGCAACTCCCTTCTGGTCCTGCCTGGAGTCTCTTCTTAGTGAAGACCAGACCAACTCCAGAATTCACAAAGCTGGGCACCCAGCTCAAATGAAGAAAATGAGTACAAGGAGGAAGATGTCTCTCTCTCTCTCCCCATCCAAAGTGACTTTGGGGTTTTTCTGTTGCTGTTTTTTTGTTTTTTGAGACAGGGTCTCACTATGTACTTGAGACTGACCGAATTCACTATCTCTCCCCATCCAAAGTGACTTTGGGGTTTTTCTGTTGCTGTTTTTTTGTTTTTTGAGACAGGGTCTCACTATGTAGTTGAGACTGACCTGGAATTCACTATGTAGCCCAGGCTGGTCTCGAACTCACAGTGATCCTCCTGCCTCAGCCTCCCAAGTGCTGGGATTACAGGTGTGCACCACCATGCCTGGCCCAAAGTGACTTTGGTGTTGAAGAGCCGAAAGACAACTATCTTTACCATCATCCCAAGATGCTCGCTCAGGGGCCCACACAGCACAAAGCTGTAGAAATACGAAGGCCATGTCTCCTTCTAAAAGGAGTCTTTCCATCCTAGCACTGCGTCTTACCCTGACCCATCTTGGAGATGCAGCTGAAACTTGGGGCCTTACTTCCCTTGTGTGCTGTCCAGAGATAGGTTCAGGGTCTCTCATCTGAAGCCAACTAGACAGGTGTGTTCAGAGTAAAAGACAAATATGCCCGAGAGCATCTTACCCAGTGGGCTGCAGGCCGCCCTGGGCCCAGCCCTTGACTATTTCGTGGTGGGATAAGTGAAGGTTACTCAGAGACTTATGACAGTTCAAGTCACACGGTTCTATCAAATTTGCTCATGCAAATTTACGGGAAAGCCACATTTTCAGAGCTTCTTGTATTAGGGGAACTTGGGACAAAGGATCGTGAATGAGTAGCTTTCTTTGCGATTTATAAAAAAAGGTTGGTGGAGCAGACACCAAGAACTAGAAAGTTCGTGACAACTATCAGTAGCGTAAGTATGATTTTCTTCCTCCCCTCCTCTTAGTTGGAGCCCCCATGTCTCCTAAGAGATTAGAAAAGGGATTACTCGTTTTCCTTAAGGCAGAAATGGGAGGGGTGGCATGACAGTTAACTTAGCCGGAGCCTGGGACTTCCCGAGACATTTTTGTGAGGCAGAAGACTCAGTGGCGTGGGAAATTCCAAGGAACAGAATTGAGACTATGTCAGGTGGTGTCGTCACAGTCCTACCCAAGCCAAGAGGCACATGGGCACATATTCACAAGGCCGGCTCCCAAAGAACACGAGCCTGTGTTCAATAAAAGAAATAAAGTGTGTCACCAAGCCAAAGAGCTTGCCAGCTTCCTAATGCCCTTTGTCATCAACTTTATTTCTGCTTTAAAACTGTAAGTAGGAAAGATGGAAAATTTGGCAAGCTCCCGCAGACTTAATTTTCTTTCTTCTCTGGCACAAGCACCCCAAACAACCACAACCAGAATGTTCTTGGTTTACCCAACACCTTTCCCACGAGAGCCAGGGCAAGAGTCACAGCAAATAACAGAGTGACAAACCGAGACCACAACCAGCAGCAGGGCCTGGGGTGGATGTCCTGAGCCCTTGACAGCTCGGGGGTCAGAGCCAACCAGAATCACAGAGCCCCCTCCAAAGTTGCTCTCCAGGCCTCCTAAACGGGCTGCAAGCCAAGCCCACTCTGGCCATTCCTAGGAACTCACACTCCCCGGGGTGCCTGTGCCACCCCTGCCCCGGTTCCTGGGTATCCCCTAGTGACTCTGTTTACTCCAACCAGGGCAGTTCACTGGAACCCTGCTGCAAGAGGCAGTACGCCTTGTGCCCTCCCGTTTGGCAATCCCTCCCCCTCCCCAGGCACATTGTCACTGCTTGTGCATCTGCTGTCTTACGGCTGGAAAAAGCCACGTGACCTCAGCTGCAGCCTGTAAGACGCTGGGTCCCCGATAAGCACAGCCTGTCATTAGTGGCAGGCAACATGATTTTTCCCCACTGCGGCCCTCACATCCTGCCTTCCCAGCTATTTTGGGCTGGGCTGCCCAGTTATCCTACAAAGGCTGAGGACTTGTATTGCAAACTTTTGAATTCTATTCTGCAGGGCAGCGACAGGCAAGCTGGGATTGGTGGCGTTTCATTGCCAAGGGGTGGGAATGGGGAGCCTCTGCGGAGGTTCTGAGAAGCTATGAGATGGAAAAGTGGAAAGTTGGCAGGCAGGCCCAGTCTCCTGGCCACTGGCCCATGCTCGTGGCTTGTGGCCCCTGGGAGGTTCGGGCAGGTGGGGCTCAGGGCTGGCAGCTGTGTGAACAGACCAGGTTAATCTGATACCCCTTCCTGCCCTTCAGGGCTGGTAACTAATGTAGGTCCTACATTCCCAGTCCTTCTTATTTTGGATCAGGCCTTGCTAAACTGCCCGCGCTGGCTTTGAACTTGTGATCCTCCGCCTCAGCTTCCCAAGCGGCTGGGATTACGAGGCTGTGCCACCACCACACCTGGTAAATTGGCATTTTTTGGGGATTGAACTCGGGTCCTTGCACTTGCAAAGCAGGCACCGGAACCAATGAGCTAAATCCCCAGCCCTGCAAATTGGCTTCTTGATGGCCTCACACCTGGAGAAAAGCACAAACAAGCACAGCAGTGTTCGCTCTCCAGAAGGACTCCTGGAGGTCGGTGGGAAGAAACACATTCGCAACCCTCCTTTTGCCATTTCCGTGCCTGTGGAGAGCCGTTCTACATAATTTCTATGTATATGTTATATATAGAGAGTAGCCATTACATAATCATGACTAGGGCTGTGTGAGGCCCAAGGTCTCCTGTACAGCGTTGGGAAACAACTCTGAGTACTTACGGTCACAGGCTGAGGCCTCAATGGTCCCGTGATGCTGTGACACTCACATCAGCTGAAGACATCCTGATTCTTTGAGAACCGAATAGTAATAAAGAGAGAAAGGTTTCACCTGGGAAAAAGACACACTCCTTATTTTTTTGTTTGTTTTTTGGTACCCGGGGATTGAACTCGGGTACTTGTGCTTTACCAGGTAGGCAACAGAACCACTGAGCCAAATTCCCAGCCCCACACTCCGTATTACCCTGCCAGCTCCTTGCACCTACTTTTGTAAGAATGCTTTGCCCGCCTCACCGTCCTCATCCCCATAGGATCACTGCCGCCCTGAGTCACCCGATGCTTCCTCTCCGTTTACTGCACGCACCCAATAATACTGGCCAGCGCACAGTGTGTCTTTGCCCTCCCAGCCCCAGTTCTGTCTCTCTGTCTTTCTTTAACCCTCACAGCACCCCTCTAGGCAGATTGGAGGACTGACCGGGCCCTGGTATGTGCCTCCCGACTTTAATCCAGCCTTGATTTCCCTACGTCTCAGTTTCTCCACCGCTAAGCATTTACTTCCCTGTGCTGGTAATGAGTGTTTTCAAATTACATAGAGTTACCGGCTGAATGATGAAACAATGGTAGGCTTGATAAATAAAATGAGCGCGCCCCCTGGTGGACAGCACAGTCTTGTGCGTGTAACTGTGAAACCAGTGTGGAAACACAAGAACGGATGAACGAAAGCGGCGAAGAATGTATCATGTTTTACACAGTCACAGAGTCAAAAGGAGAGGAGCTCAGGAAGGAGGCGTTGGGGCTCAGAATACAGTACTACAAAATACGGCACTTCGGCAGGCTGAATATCTTGAACTGGAGGAGACTAGAAGGCCTCGGAAGCAGACTCCCTTGGCACAGCCCCACTAGTAGCCAGCCGTGAAACCCAGAAGTATTCCTCTCCCTTCCCCCAGCTCTGTGTAGGGGCTGGCGGCAGTCACTACCCTCATTCTAGAGAAGGGGACTCCGCCCCACACTTGGGAGGAAGGAATGCTGCACCAGAGGCGGACAGAATCTGAGCAGACAGCCTCTCTGGGCTTTCCCACCTCTGCCCAATCCCACTAGGTCATACCCCTCCT